TCTTTCTCCATGGGGCTGGAGCACCACTGAGACCTTCCACCATATTCAAACTGATTTAATTAGAAATGGGAGGCATGTTGATATTGATTCATTCAAAGCTCAGTAGCAAATCAACATTACACCCTCTGAAAAGGAGGGGGCAAGATTGCCGTTGCCTTTTTTCATCACACATTGAAACGAGCACGGTCCAAACAATCTTAGACATACAAGTCCATTTCCAGAGGGAAAGGGAAAGGTAAAGGGACCCCTGACCATTAGGTCCAGTCGTGACGGACTCTGGGGTTGCGGCGCTCATTTCGCTTTATTGGCCGAGCAACGGGAGCTCACCCCGTCGCGGGGATTCAAACCATCAACCTTCTGATCGGCAAGGCCTAGGCTCTGTGGTTTAACCCACAGTGCCACCTGGCATATTAAAAAAACTTGGCTGTTCTTTGGCTGCATAGAGTGCTATGCAATCTACGTGTGTATAAAGTTCTAGATGACTTGGGACTAGGCAAGTCAGAGAATCCCTGAAAAAAATATTCATACATGCCATAAAATTCCTTTGCAAAGTGGTACAGTCAAACCTCATGTTGAAAGGCTGCTGGCAGTAAGTTCTACCTCTAATGTGGGTAGACATGATTTATGAATGAGACCATGCTCAATATGGATGTGCAAAGACCTTTCTTTGTGTGCTTCCTTTCATGGGCCTGGATAGCAACTGCTGCGCATCCTTAATAATGCTGTGGTTTTTGTACCCCAGTGAGATTTATGTGAATATACAATATATCTGCTCATCAAACTGAAATATACATCCCAAATACTACTATGGTGTGTGTGTGTGTGTGTGTGTATATGTGTGAACAATTGTTTAAAAATAAGCCAGAAGCAGGAAATGATGTCAGAGAAACAGAGATGTAAAATAAGTATGGAAGAATAATAGGTGTAAGTCCCACTGAACTGATTGTGTTGTATGTAAAACACTGATTTTTCCACATTAGGAACTGAAGTATACTACTGTGCTATGAGAGGAGGCTGGCACATGTACAGTGGTACCTTGGGTTACAAACACCTCAGGTTACAGACTCTGCTAACCTGGAAGTAGTACCTTGGGTTAAGAACTTTATCTCAGGATTAGAACAGAAATCATGCACTGGTGGCAGTGGGAGGCCCTATTAGCTAAAGTGGTACCTCAGGTTAAGAACGGTTTCAGCTTAAGAACAGACCTCTGGAACGAATTAAGTTCGTAACCAGAGGTACCACTGTACTGAAAAATGTTAGTTATTATGCTGCTGCCTTCATCTCAAAGCAACATGTCCCTCAAACCCTAACACTGACCATCTTTTTGCTGATGTACAGTCTTGACATTCTGAGGAAGGGTTTGTTGCTTGCTTGCATTGCGGATTAAACCACAGAGCCTAGGCCTTGCCGATAAGAAGGTTGGCAGTTCGAATCCCCGTGACGGGGTGAGCTCCCGTTGCTCAGTCCCTGCTCCTGCCAACCTAGCAGTTTGAAAGCACGTCAAAGTGCAAGTAGATAAATAGGTACCGCTCTGGCGGGAAGGTAAATGGCGTTTCCGTGCGCTGCTCTGGTTCGCCAGAAGCGGCTTTGTCATGCTGGCCACATGACCTGAAAGCTGTACGCCGGCTCCCTCAGCCATTAAAGCAAGATGAGCGCCGCAACCCCAGAGTCGGCCACGACTGGACCTAATGGTCAGGGGTCCCTTTACCTTTACTGCTTGGTTTTACTTATATGCTGCTTTCCCACAATGAGCTGTGCCCCAAATGGCTTACAGCAAACATTCAAAATAGAGAAGGAAGGAAATAATGGCCTGCTGGGATTTTCTGATGCAGCCTGTACCAGAGCCAATGAGTGTGGAGGGAAATCCCTGAAGCATCACTATTGGTCAGGCTGACAGGACTGAAGGAAGTATGAGACTTCAGAAGGCACTATTGATTTTGCTTTCTGAAGACCTCTTCATTATTCTGGAAGGTGATAAAAACACACCCCCATAACATAAAAAAGAATGATACTTTTTCAGGGTACAGTGAGGTGTGTCCCCAATTTTAATCATGGATAAAATGCCATCTGGAAAGTCTCTGAATAGAATGAGGCACATTCATGGGGGGGATGGTCAACTCAATGGAATCTGCATATTCATAAGCAGCATACTGTGATTATTTATCTATTTAACTTGTTAGCTGGTTAACACAAACTGAAAAAGTCTCTAAGCAACTTACAAAAATTGATGATGCTAGGGACAAACAGGAAGAGAGAAGTAAGACATAGAATCACACAATTGTAGGTGATGGCTTCATGGAGGGTTTGTTGCTTCTGTCTGTTAGTATGTTGTGTATTTTTGCTGGCTGGATCTGTTGGGAGTTGGTGTCCAATGACATCTGGAGCTCCAGGGATTTCTCACCTCTGCTTTCAAAGCAATCTAGTTGGCTCTTGCTGATAACAGAATGCAAGGCCACATGGACCCTTGGCCTGAACCACTTCAAAACATAAATTTCAGCCACCAGTTTCATTCATGGCAGTTAACTGCTCATATGAGCAGTGAAATGTGTGTGAGGAAGTTTAAGGGTTTCAGGCAGGGCAACACGCACTGCTCCTGAAAAATATGAATAAATCTGCTGCCAGGGTTTGTGAGCTTCCTGTTCACACACTTGACATCCCTTGTGGAAAATAATATCACTGTGGAAGAGGGTTCTTTCCCTCAGTTTCTCTTCAGAGTCCACGAAATGCTGACAGGATTCATTGCCAGGATTCTCGCACCATCCCTACCCTTCCCATTTCCAGGAATGCCCTTGGGTGTCAGAGTTCACTGAATACACTTTTAACAGCGTCAGCTATTTGAATTTTGAAATAACACAAGTCTGTCATTGTAAGAACCAATGGATGCTCAATCCGAGTGGAAGCGTGTGGTGTTGATTGTGGCGGCCGTAGTTTGAAGCCTTTATTAAGTCAGCTGGCAAAACATCCAATCTCTCAGCATTAAATTTTATGGCAAAGGAGTGGAGTGACTGAACTGTTTTCTTTTCTCTCCCCCCTTCTGTTATATATCGCTTACGTGGTCTAGTTCTCAAAACCACAGCCATTGATCTTTAAAACGTGTGTGTGTTAGTGTGTGTGTTAGTGTTACTGGTAGCCACACTATACTGTAACATTTATGGACTCTATAAAATCTTACATCGTTTTGGTCTTTCCTCAGAAGAGCTTTATGCCAGACAGCATGGATGTTTCATGCTAAACTCGTCTGTGGCCAAAGTCATTCAGAAGAATTCTGCACCTGAGTTGCTTTAATATAGGACAACCTGCAGCTTTACAGAGACCTTCCTCTGTAGCTGCCCTTTCAGGTGGAGACAGATGTGCAATTGTGGTAGGATTGAACACACACATCTTGCATTCCAAGGCATTTGTTTTCAGCACAGAGGAGGGATTCCAAAATGGCTCCCATCACGGCATGCACAGTGACCCACCATAAGTTTGTGATTCTCCCCAAATATAATCCAAGTGCCAAAAATGCTGATTACCAGGCAGCACTCAGCTGTGTACTTCACCTAAGGTTGTAAGAAACTCACTTTTGGCTCACAGCATTCATTTTGGTCCCTAACAGAGGAGTCCTAATGCAGCAAAGGTTTGGGGGTGAGCCCCACAGGTGAAAATACAGGTCTAGGAATTCACCCGCCACACACTCTCCTTTTCTGGCAGCCATTGCAGCCCCCATGGGGATGCAGCTAAAAATGGTATCCCCTTGGTTATCAACATCACCAGGTATCTGAAGAAGTGTGCATGCACACGAAAGCTCATACCAATAACAAACTTAGTTGGTCTCTAAGGTGCTACTGGAAGGATTTTTTTTCTTCTTCCTCCTCATAATGTCTAGAAATCCTCAATCACTTTGTGAGTTCCTCCATCTCAGTTACTGTCAGCCAACAAAGAGGAGCAGGGTTAGGGAAAGTTGCAATATGTTGACCATGAGTAATGATAGGTATTGTCTGAGGAGTTGCACATCTACTGACAGTTGTCCATGTGGCTGGTTTCATTGCATGCATGTTCATTACTTGACTGCAATAACAAGTGACAACATGCCTGGGGGGGACGGGGGACGGGTCCTCACAGATCTAACCCCACACACTGAACTTTCATTCCCTCCCTCTCATCACTTTTAACGTAGCGCTTTTCACACAAAGTTTGCACACTCAGCCACTAACTTTCGACTGCTTAACACGCAAGTGTACAGGAAACCCAAGTTCCCGCCAATTACCCTTGGCACATCCAACGCACACTCTGAGAACAGCTGGTGTATTCAGTAACTTCTAAAATGTCTGCAAGGTAGGGTACAGCCACCTTTACATGCCCCAGGGACATTCAAAGCACTCAGCCTACCAGAAGTCCACTGAAGCTTCATAGTTATCATGGCACCAGTTACGAAGTGTAGTTGTTGAACCAGCATTTAGGTATGGGGGAGTCTACTGTGTTTTGCCTGATTTTTTAATTTATTTATTTTTTGCTTGGTTAAGAATGGCTTTCTCGGAGACCCTACCTTTAGGCATAGGCAACCTTCGGCCCTCCAGATGTTTTGGACTACAATTCCCATCATCCCTTACAACTGCTCCTGTTAGCTAGGAAACATGGGAGTTGTAAGCCAAAACATCTGGAGGGCCGAAGGTTGCCTATGCCTAAAGGTAGGGTCTCTGAGAAAGCCATTCTTAACCAAGAAAAAACGTCTGTAGACCAAAACATCTGGAGGGCCGAAGGTTGCCTATGCCTGCTCTAAAATGTCTGCAGGTAGGGTCCATGCCCCAGGGACATTCAAAGCATTCAGCCTACCAGAAGTCCACTGAAGCTTCATAGTTATCATGGCACCAGTTATGAAGTGTAGTTGTTGAACCAGCATTTAGGTATGGGGGAGTCTACTGTGTTTTGCCTGATGTTTTTTTTGTTTTGCTTGGTTAAGAATGGCTTTCTCGGAGACCCTACCTTTCAAGTGACATTCAGAATCTTTTCTTTTGCAGCCATTTCGTAGAGTGACGTTTTCAGTTGTGAGTCAGCCTCAGGACCCACATCAAGGGTCATTGCAGAGTTGCTATGACAGCGGTCTGGAGGAGTCAGAAACACCAAGCAGTAAGAGTTCTTCAGGGCCGCGGCTGGGTGCCCTTCCACTCCCAGAGGACAACTACGAAAGGACTACGCCGGATGGCAGTGTTGGTGAGGCAGAGCATATGGAAAATGGTAGGGGCATACACAACACCCCACACAACACATGCTCGATTTACACTAGCGAGTCCAACATGAAGTAGATTTGTCAAGAGGTCAGTGGGAGGAATCATCATCATCATAATGCAAAGGTGATGAAGCTTAAATTTAGGGCTGGATCCAGCCAAATTTTAGGCACTTTTAAGGCCCATTTCAATGGGATGATATGTAAACATCGGCATTGAACCTTTAATGGAAATCACTGAGACGTGAATGTGCTTAAGTTTTGATTGGATCATGCTCCTAATATTGACCCGACAAGGTTGATTAAGATGGGGGAGGGGAGAGAAACATGCAAATATAAAGCATATTTAAACAGTATTAATGACACAGTTAAATAAATACATCTAAAAATATCAGCACATAGCCGATGAAACCTATTTAAATTCTTATTTTTAAAAAATAATATGTAGACATAATTTCTTTTTAGTTGTGCGCCTTTTATTATTATCCAGGAACTGTATATGTTCAGCATTAGCTAGTAGAAAATAGAAATTCAACTTTCCTTTTAGATTGTTGTCTCTTCCCTGCTTGCATGCACAGGGTTTTCAAAATATAGTATATATTGCTTACTTCCTATATTCTGCTCATAGCAAGGGGCGGAGGTTGCAGCATCGGGAGGTGGGAATTGTAAGAAAGGCTGTGATACAAAGGAGTGTGTGTGTTTGTGTGTGTGGCCATATATTGTTGTCCGCTATGGAAAGCAAAGTACCAAAAACATCAACTCTTCCATGGTAGACAATATTGAGTCTTCGGCTCCATTTTTGTGCTTACTCACCGGATAATAGCTGGTGGCTGGAGATAGCAATGAGAGCAACTTGCTTAGTCTCCCTTTTGTATCAGAATTTTTGATTTCCATTTTCCCCCATAATGGTATTCTGTAATCCCAAATTCCAACAGAGGGACAGATTATTAAAAGAAGAAAAAGTTGTGTGGGTTTATTGTTACCAAGGGTAAAAAAAAAATTCAATGTGTTTGCAGCAATGTATTTAGTTTCCACACTACTAAATGACTTCAGTATTTCCCCCCAGAATGTTTCATTATTGGCGTGTAGTATGAAGAAAATAGCAATATAATAGCAACAGTTCCCAGTTATTTTTTTCAGTGTGTCTTGAATAGGTCTTAACAATCCATTGCCCCATGCTTTTATTTGCCTAGATCTGAAATCTTTTGAAGTCAATTATATTGATTTCATAGTTATACCCACAGAGTAGGTTATTGAATGCCAGAGTACAAGCTAATGGTACCATGTGAAACAATGCATGTCTAGATGACATTTGTATAGATGTAAGAGCATGAGTGGAATGGTGTATCGGACTTGTTTGGAACCATATATAGAGTCACTGATTCCGTCAAGGTATTTGTTTTACTTTCCTTTGGAGATTTTATATCAGCAAATAATTAATTGTTCTCATGGTTTTGTTTCCCTTAAAATAGAAATATCAACACAACAAAAGCAGAACATTTTCTGTGATTTGGGGGGAGGTTTTTTCCATTATACTTCTGAAAAAAAGTATAATAATAATATATATAAGTATAAGCGCCATTTGTTTTACAAAGAGTCAACCACCGAGGTGCATTTTTTCCCAAGGATGGAACAAAGATGATTTTGTTGTGGTGCTAAAGAGAAACAGCCATGTTTGAAGGCCTCCCATTAAACTGAAAATTAAATTGATACCTGTTGTATTTCAAGAACATTTGTTGCAGTTACCTTTTCACCGCACAAATATGGAGGAAATCAGGAGCGAAAAAATTGGTTTATACCAAGTAACACCATTGGAACATACAGCCCATTGAGGTCAACGTTGACTCACAGTGGCTTGCCAGAATTTTAGTCAGGAAACATTTCCAGCCATATCTGAACCTGGGATTGTCTGCATTTAAAGAAATATGTTTCTACTGAGCTGTGTCCCTTCCCCAAGATCCTCTTCTTCTTCTTCCTTTTTATCTCTCATAGCTGTTCTTTTCTTTTTTTAAGTAAGAGTTTAGTGCATTTGGCTGTAGTCTGGTCTTGACCTTGCTTCTACCAGGTCACCATATAATCAGACGAATCTTTATTTGCATCAGCCACTAGCCATGGCAATAAAATAAAATAAAATGTACTGAAGATAGGGGTAAAAGCTTAACTATAGAAAATACATTTTGGGGGTTTACATGAATAAAAAAATAATAGATTTTATTCTAATTGCTCCCGCTAAAACCCTTGCAGTTTTTGCTGTTGCTTGATCATCTTGTTCTGCTAAAAGAAAGGACACAGGAGCAATGGTTGAGTGACCTGGCACGGACAATAATAGAAGGGTAATGACCTCACTCCTCAAATCTTTATAAAGAGTGCAAGCCAGAAGCACACGAGCCACTGCCATCTCCACAGGGACAAAACCATTTTTCCAGTGGAGTTTTTTGAAACCGACCCTCAAGTACAGCCAAAGGCAGCATATTCTATCTTGCGAAAGCGCATCTGCATTTTGGAATTGTTAAATTTTGCAAATAGGGTGCTAAGGTGTCAAAATGACTGGGTGGAAAACAATCATACCACAGACAGAATTTCCTTGGTCTGACATGAGACAAGTAATGCAGTGGTCACAAGGGCCAGAGACCAGTGATGTGATTCTGAATGAGATGGAATTCAGATACAGTGGTACCTCGCAAGACGAATGCCTCGCAAGACAAAAAACTCGCTAGACGAAAGGGTTTTTTGTTTTTTGAGCTGCTTCGCAAGACGATTTTCCCTATGGGCTTGCTTGACAAGATGGAAACGTCTTGCAAGTTTGTTTCCTTTTTCTTAACACCGTTAATACAGTTGCGACTTGACTTCGAGGAGCAACTCATAGAACGCGGTGTGGTAGCCTTTTTTGAGGTTTTTAAAGACTTTGGTGATTTTTGAAGCTTTTCCAAAACTTTCCCGACACCGTGCTTCGCAAGACGAAAAAAATCGCAAGACAACAAAACTCGTGGAACGAATTAATTTCGTCTTGCGAGGCACCACTGTACTGGATCAGGCAGGCAGGAACCAATGGCCAGAGCAGAAGATGTAGCCACAGAGCAGCTGCAAGTCAGATTTGGGTCTAGTGTCATGTAATGTGATCAGTTGCTCAGATTTATTGACTGGCATAAAACAAAGGTCTGTATAAGGCCTGGTGCCTCTCCATTGGTTTGGGAGACCAGCATCTTCAAGCTGTGGTTATCAGCACTCAGCCTAGAAGCAGTGGCAGAGATTCATGCTCTGTAGGGGCATGGCGCCCAGTGCAGGCGCGGGCAGCTGCGATGGCACCCAGCCGGGATCTTGCTGCCGGGGGCGGTGCACTCCCCCTGCACACCTCTTCCTCCGCCAGTGCCTAGATTAGGTGTCGTTGTCTATAGAATCTGGCTGATGGCTTAGAATGCTGGTGGCCCAGGAGTTAAGGCACCAAAGGCTGGTCACTGGAGGCCTTGGCTTGAAACTTCCTTTCTGTGTCTTATACTTATTGCATGCTCAGGTGGAAATTTGTCCTGCTGAACTCCTTGAGAGTTACTTCTGGTAAGTGAACACAGAATTGCAGCCTTAATTGTTGCAACAGTGGTCACTCAGGGTGTAGAACTAGTGAACTAGCCACAGATATACATGATCTCAATGCTCCGAAATGCACGGAAGCTGCGTCGAATCCTGCTCTCCTTAGATGTTACCACCAGTAGAGCTTGTCACCTGGCTAGTTTTTAAGGCTTTGGGCTATGAGATTAATTGGTTTGCAAAGTCAATGTTGCAAAGTTTAATGTTAAACCCAAACCAAGCAAAGAGGTAGTGCTAGAACTATTGCTTCAAGACATTTTTATTATTTTTTTACACAAAGAGCAGTGGTTAGAGAAATAATAATAATTATTGAAAATAATAGTAGCACAACAGAAATGCTACATCATGCTCTGGCTTTCATGCTTGAAGGAAGGGGTATTTTAAAGGCCGGGAGTATACCAGTATCCACAATTTTCTGCTCTCCCAGCATGAAAATGGCACATTTGATCCAAACTGACGGTAGGGTTGTAAATACTGTTGTTGGTCCACAGAAAGGCAGCAACAGGATGTGCAAGCTGTTTTGCTGTTAAAATGATAGCAGGTGAAGATGAGAGCAACAATGATTTAGATCTGCGTTATATTGGCTAGATCCGTTTTTGAGCGAGGAACATAATATGCAGAGTATAATTGCAATTAAGTTCACTGAAGATAATGATGATTATAATACACATGGTAAATGGGAGTGGGGAAATGGGGCTGGTCTGAGCATAGTTGCAAACCTGGCAATCGGCTAGAATGCAAAAATCCCAGAGAACCTATCCCAGCTATTGAAAACATATTGGAGAGAAAGAGAGCCAACCTCTGTGCATTAGTAGTTAGAGGCAGTCTAGGAGCTGATCAGTTGTGTGATCAACCTCAGCTGCTAAAGAATCTTCTGTTATGCACCGGTGGCCAAGGCCATAGAAAGGTAGCATGAAGATATTCCAAACAAAATTAGTTTGATGTCTAATTTAGCCTCCACTTCAGCACTTTCTGGATGAAAGCATTACACACACACACACACACACACACACACACACACATGCTATCAGTACTCAAATACATCTTCTCTTTCTTATGGTTTGACTCTTTGTTTCAAATTGCTAGGCAATGAATATATTAATATGTAGCAGCTTTCCATTTTGGTAAACAGCTCGAGGTACATGTTTATGTATTTCATTTGCGTCATTGCAGAGGCCGTTTTGTTTCATTTTTTTAAACAGAAGAAATATTCATGTAGGAAAATGCCATGTGTGAAATGGCATAAAGTGTTTGGATTAGGAGGGTTTAAAAAAATATAAAATAAAATAAATCTCACAATTCAACAAGTCTTTCCCACCCATACAGTCAATATGTATCCACATAACAATGCACACCCAAGCCCCGTTCATCTTGATGGATGCTTTCCTTAATGGAGATGGAGACACATCTCCTCATTGGGATCACTAGT